TAACACAGTCAGAAATGAAATATTTAATTTAAAGTTTTAAAAAATAGAAACTTACAAATTTACAATAAGAAAATTATCTGGTTTAACATCAGCATGAATAATCTGACAACGATGTAGTTGTTGAAATATATATAGCATTTCCAATGTGATGTACAAAACTAAGCATTCTGGCATGGCTTGATTTTTTTGTTTGTATAAATTAATAATATCCTGAAAATATATGAATTAATATTTTTATACATCAAGCATTCAATTGTAATTATACAAAATTAAGAAGTTAATGCATTTAAAGTCAATGATTTTTTAAATCAATTGGTACTTTTGCTGCTTATCATTGATTCACTATTTTTAAATTAAATTAACAGTTGTCTGATTATCAAATTTATAGTCCATTCTTATTACATCATTAATTTTAATAGATGTGAAATAAGAATTGATAATATAATAATTAATCTAGTGTTGTATACAAAAGAAAATAAATTCAGTATTTTATATAAAAATATAGAAGTTTTAAAATTCTTGTTTCTCAATCTCAATCTATTACTTCCATGATTTCTTGATTAATATTAATGTGCCATATATAGAAGTTTTGCAGAGAAGGGGTTATATTTTATCAAATATTTACAAAATATTTTAAACATTTGAATTTAATCTACATTTTAGTTTTGGCATCTAACAGCAAAATTTCTGATAGCTCTAAAAATGAACAAACAATTTTTTTAATAAACAACATTAAAAGCATTTTATTTAAATTTAAAATATTATTTTCTCGTATAAAAAAAACACTACCTGTTTTATAGCATTTTAATAAGTTTTGTTATTACTTAACAATACTTAATAAAATTGATCATTTAAAAAACTTTTTAATGTAGAAGCCCTATTTCATGTTCTTATGCAAATACAGGTAGCCCTCGGTTTACGCGATTCACAATAATGCCACTGTGCAATTTGCTGTTTCATGGTGTAATTCCCTGATTTTCCCTACGCAAGACTGATTTTCATTTCAGTATTAACGTACTTACCAAGCTGCAACATTGTATATTCGTTAAAACAAAGATTTTTATTGAATATATTTTTTTTCTGTTTAATATTATTGGCTATGTATACATTTGCATTAAATTAATATTAAAATACTAAACTAAGGTACCCAAGAGTCAAGTTATTAAACTTAATAGTCCAATAAATGGCATTCGAATCCATAGCGCCAATGAATGTATCCCGTGTCAATTCGTTCAGAAAACACCTTATGATGCAGTAGCACCTCTAGCGATCACAAACTATTGTTAGTGAGACAAATCTACTTCTCGTTGGCCAGATGACACTTTTTTTATTAGCCAGACGATATTTATCTCTTCTTAGCCACCTTCAATTTTCCCGCTCAAACTGACCTTATATATGTGCTACGGTGACTGGTGGTTGACCAATCAGTGTCACCGCTCGTCTGTAGCTCTACGTCAGGTTAACGTATCCTTTCAACTATGGAAAGTTTGACGAATGAACTTTGTGAGTTAGACAATGATTGGGAACAAAGTGCAAATGTAAAAAGNAAAAAAAATAAAAATGGAGCAGTCTCCAATTATGCCGGGTAGTCAGATGTGAGGAAGACTTTTTTCACACATTCATACAGATACAGACTTTTTACACATTGCAGCAGGTCTCTTTTTTATCGTTTTTTAATTGAAGTCAGATTCAGGAGAGGCTACTGGAGCTTGCAGGGTCAACTCCTCTTGTTCCATCCTTTGTTTTTTGCCTGCTGGCTTCATGAAAAACATGTCCAAGGTGGTCTGTTTCTCTCTCTTCTTCAACATCTGTCAGAAATGACGGGCAAGGGTGTCATTGTAGAGATCATTATCCAAACAGAACTGAGACCACCAGGATCAATGAGTGTTGGTAAACTCCTGAACCTCTCCCATTCAACAAGGAAGTTGTCAACTTTCACTTCTGATGATTTCTTGCATTGTTTCAATTGAAATCACCTTTCTGTTTTTTTAGAAGCCATAATTTGCACAACACTAGTATAAATGTAAATACCCTGCACTGAAGTGATGTACATAATAAACAAGGGAGCAAGCCGAATCCCAATGGGAACTCTGTACTTCAGATATACTAATAATATATTGTAATAACACTAATATATTATAAAAATAGCAGATTGTCATTGGCAATGGCAAAAGAGTGAAAATATTATTCGCACTTGTTTGCCTCACATAATGGCCAAACAGAAAGTCCGTTGTTCGAGGCACCACTGTATTATCTGCTTGTGATTAAAAGATAAATGTAAGTTCTACTAGGTTATTCAATATCCAAATATAGTATGGGGTGCCCAACCACATGGAATACTGGGAATTAGCCTGGAATTTTGTTTTAACTGTGATTTTAAGTCAGATTCCATCAAAGTGAGACTTGACTTCTGTGATGGACTTGAGGCTTCATATGATATTACTGATATAACTAACAAAAATTAGAAAAATTCTAAATTTGCTTGCTAAGTACAAATTAAAATTTGTTGTTATTTTTAATATAATCATAGTATATTAATTTAATTATTTGCTTCTTCAAATATTACATAACAGAAATTAGGTTTTTTATTTAAAACAAATTTCAATTCAGCTCATAACAAATGCTGACAATAGTGATGTCACTATATCAGGCCAATACAAATTAGTCTGATTCAATCATAATTCTCACAGTGAATGTAGCTAAGAATTACAAATGCATTCAGTATATCATAGTAATAAATAGAATTCTGTTACTAAACATGGACAATCCTGGACTTGCTCATCTATAGCTGAAATTTGAACTCAATACTTTAAAACAGATGCAAAGAAAGTTTGAGTTATAATTAATGTTGAAGTGCTCTTTTTAAAATGTGTCTGTACATTGGGAAAGCAGAACAGTCCCTTGAAGTTTTAAAACCAAATTGAATATACATGAGTAAAATACAACATACCTTTATATAGAAGTGTGGCAACAGAATTCTTTCATGATCATCATTCTAATTACCAGGTGTTATCTTGATTCAAAAAATGACAATTTGTTTTGACATGAGTAGGACAAATATTATATTAAAAAATTCTATTAATTTATGTATTTATCTTTTAACAAGTGAATTATTAATATAGGCCTTCCTAAAATGACAAAACCATGATAAAAGTTAATATTAATTTAATGTTCATAATATTTAGAAAGTTATAGTAATTCTTTATCTAAGATTCTTGTAATGTATTAAATAACTTATGTAACTTATTAAATTCACCTTAATCAACAACTAGATATTTGAGGGATATTATTACAGAATATTACCAAACAAAAGATATACAGGATAGTGGTTGCACACACAAAACAATGTTGAAGAAAAATTAATATAATTTTTCTTCAACATTGTTTTATGCATGTGACCACTAGCACATGTTTAATGAATTCTAATTTATCTAGAGTTTTTTTCTAAGTAGCATTCCATAACCTGAAGATGGCTATTAAAGACAGTTGAAAACATTTTGTTAGTATAATAAATTTGCCCATTTTAACTGGATTACAGGTATTAATTGCTGCTTTTTTTGTAACCTCATCCAGTTTTGAAGTATCTTTTAATTTATTATAGTTAAAAATTGCATACTGTAAGAATGACAACATGTTAAATTACAATGCCAATGACAATTTGTTTAATTCCACCTAAAACATATTTTCAAGAATGGATACAACTATGCATGATTATGGAAATTTTTTTTTTATTCAAAGCCATGTGGTATTTGACCTCCAGGTTTAGTGAGTGGCTTTCTACTTGTCAATTTTTTTTAATTGAAAATATCCCATTATTAAAATAATCTTTTGTGGGATGTTGGATTTTAAGCTGCTTTTTGATTAATATTTTTAACTGGTAAATGGAGATGATAGAACAACAGCTAATTAAATTATATAAGTGGAAAAATGGATAAGTTGGCCAGATATAGTTACAAAAGATTTCCTTATACAATATACTCATGCTTTAACAGCTGTGGAAGAACAGATGTTTCTAAACACTCTCACAGCTGTTAAAGCATGAGTATATTGTATAAGGAAATCTTTTCAGTTGCTTTTCTATTCACATTTCCCAAGTAAATGGGCAACACTTTCAACACACTACTTGAACAATTAAGAAGGTTTGTAAGAAATGCAATACTAGAGAGGTTACGGCCGAAGTTTTCATCACAAAAATGTGATCAGACATTCAGCGCCGCCATCCTGCAAGACCAGAAGTTTGACAATAGTGTTTGGAACATCAGTGGAATCATGCTGAATGTTCCTAACACCATTGTCAAACTTCTACGCTTACAGGATGGCAGTGCTGAATATCTGATGATCACATTTTTGCAATGAAAACTTTGGCCACAACTTCTCTACTGAATTCTTGGAAGAGATAAAAGGTTACTTAGTTTTTTCACCTGCATGGATTACAGACCTATTCATCACAACTTTCATTTTGGAGACTGTCCCCCTCTTTCTGGATTAGCTTATGACCCTAATCACTATGATATGAGAAAGATGTCATCTGGATTTACAAAAAGATAGAAATTATTTGCAAATTTGACATTTTTAACATCACACAGAAAGTTTATTTTTTCATAATGTCAATTTTAAGATTTGTACATAAAAATACTACAATAACTATTACTAATATGCCTGATTTCAGTTATAAATAAAAAAATAAAAATACAGTACAAAATGTAATAAGTTGATAAAAGTTAAAGGATAGGTGTAGCTACAAATTTTGCCACACATAGAGTTCCTCAAAGCAGTTTACCATTCTCCCTACTGTGTATTATAATTAGCTTTAGGGGAAGCAGTGACATAAGAGTTAAGTAATAATTGTCAAAGATCATTGGCTTAACCAGACAGATTCATCATAAATGATTTTAATATAGGAAGTTTTGGCAAAAATGCTTCAGCATAACTACTAAAATATCTTCACATTTTGATTAAAATATACGATTGTACTAAAATGAATAATTTTTTTAAACCAGATCATCATTTAGGCAGAGCAGTATTAATGTTTGGCATTCCATTTGTTTATACACAGAGTAGGATTTTGAAGGTAAAATTTTTATTTTAACAGCATTAAAGATTAATGTATTGTTTTATATGTAATTTTTTTTTCAAGGCTAGATTAGAATATTTGAGGGATCAATTTCAAATAAGAGAGAGTGATTTTTTAACTTTTGATGCAATGAGACATGCAGCTCAATGTGTTGGCAGAGCTCTAAGAGGAAAAACTGATTATGGCATCATGTGTTTTGCCGATAAGGTAAATAATTTGCACTTGATTTAAATCAAAATTATACTTTATTAATATTGTAAAAATTTTTTACAGAGGTTTTCGAGAATTGATAAAAGAGGAAAATTACCTCGATGGATTCAAGAACACCTTAAAGATTCTGTGTGCAATCTTTCCATTGAAGAAACAGTACAGATCTCAAAACGTTTTTTGAGACAGATGGCACAAACATTTTCAAGGGTGATTATTAATAACTAATATATTTTATCTTAAAAAATCTTCATTAGATGCAAATTATTTTTTCTCTCTAAAACAGGAAGATCAATTGGGTATCTCACTTCTTACATTAGAACAAATACAGTCAGAAGAAATTCAGAAGAAAATTGAAGGAAAAGTCCAGTTACAATGATATTGTGTAAATATTTATAATAAAAAAATGTCACATAGTTCTTTAGCCTTGGTCTTCAGAGCATTTATTTGGATTGGTTCTTTAAGTTTTTTGTTCAGTTGGTTGATAAAGGGTGTAATGTCTGGAATTTCACTACAGTTGGGAATATTTAGAAAAGTATGAAACAGACTTTGCCAAAAGTCTGATTGCCAATATCTAAAATAAAAAAAAAAAAAACAAAAATTCACATATTTGAAAAAAATTAAAACCACCTCAAATTTACATAAAGCAAGTTCCTACCTTTTGAATTTGCTACAGATTTCCCATTCTCCATTTTTGTTTTTGCGTAGTTTCATATATTCAGAAAAAAGCATTACATGAATGCTTCCCAAAACACCATACCAGTCAGTCTAAAATAAATTTATCAGAAATTAAAATAATCAATTTTAAATCTCTTGTTTCAAAAATACCTCTTGTTTATGCTTAGTTTAAAAATACAGGTATACCTCGCCTTACATTGGTAATTGGTTCCAGGAGAGGCAACGTAAGTCGAATTTACTTGCATTTTTAATAATATATGGTTAATAAGGATCTATTTTAAGCTTACAAACAAATAAATTTTAGTTTTTAATATAGTACAGAAAAAAGTAATCTAAATTTACCATTGCATGTACTGTACTGTAGATACAGTACATACTTGTAAATGTATATATTTTAATATGATTTTATGTGCTTTAAACGCTTTACTAGTGATATTACGACTTCAATATTTGTGGCAGACAGACGTAAAGTCCAATAAAATGACTTAAACTTGATTTTTATCTTTCCATATACTTTTCTGAGAAACAACGTATAATCGGGAATGACGTAACTCGAAATGACGTAACTCGAGGTATACCTGTATTGATTCATTTTCTTATTATGATATACAGTTGAATTTTAAACTGCATATGCTATCACAAAAATTGCTTTTAATAATTTAATGAAAAAAAATTAAGTCCAATCACAAATATATTAAAATTTTGTCAGATCTTCATTGTATATTAGTTGTCTATTTCCAATATTTAGAGTTTCTACTTTTAGCAGTTTTATGCACTTCTAAAAATATAACAATTGGCAATATTAAATTTCAATAGAATTATTGTGTATTTTTCAAAATAAGAACCTGACATACAATTGAAAAAACATTTAGAATTTTTAAGAACAAGACAAATTTTTGTATCACGTTTTTCTAGTCTGGAGCACAGTTGCAAATACAAGTAATAGCAATATTTAAAAGATTTTATTGCTATGATTGAAAAAGCAAGCATTAACAAACATTGTATAGGCTGAATTAAGTTACTATGATTTAAAATGAATCAAGTTGGAATATTAGACAATGTATAAAGTTCAAACAAACATGATGTAACATAAATGATAATGGACAATTCAAATTTTCACTGAATCAATACTATATCTGTGGCTTAGAAGAATAAGAGCCTTTAACATTGGCCCTTATTCTTCCAAGCCACGGATAATGCCATTTTCAAAACCCAGGCTAATACATTATATATTTTTTCCATAAATACCTATTCAACTAATGGTGCTGTGCATTTACACTATTTGCCAAATATTTGTCAAAATGTATGTCACTTGGCAATTACATATGGTTATTTGCTGAGCATCAGTTCATTGTGAGAACAACTGTTTGTCCAAAATCTAGAAAATGGACAAGTCTCAAAAAATAATTTGTTCCGTCACTTTCATAGTTACAACTGGTTTGTAGCTGTTAATGAAAAAAAGCCTAAAAGAATAAGGTAGCATATGATAATGTTTCATTAAAAATGTGCAGGAAAAAAAATAAACTAAATATTTAAGCTATAAATTTAAAAAAAAAAACTACTTTAAAATGGAAACACCAGTCTTTCACTTTTTTGTCTTTTTTTAACTACAGTAGAGCATTGTTTATCTGAATGGAAATGGAAATTTAAATTTCCGTCAGCCAAAGATTGCAGCATCACAGCACTATGTCTTGGGCTACTCCAATATTTTTTTGTTGGTATGTGTGTTTTAGCTGGCAGCACTGGCACTTTTGTGTGGTGTTTTTCTGAGGACTATGTTGTGCTGAATCAAACGTTTTTGATAATAGATCAACTTCTAAGTATAATTTTTTAGTTTTTATATTTTTCAATATATTTATTTTGTTTGTACAAAATAAAGAAATAATTTTTAACGATTCATAGCTACGGGTTATCATTATAAAAATTTTTGTTAGGCTTAACATTGATGAAAATTCAATGTGAAGCAACACACAACAGAGAAAAATTTAAACTAAATTTTTAGAGGTTAATATAATTTTTTGTACATAATTGATTATCCGAACAACCCCAGTCCCCAATTGATTTGGATAAACGACGCTCTACTGTATATCTAATGTCAAATCCACAAATTCACTATTTGCCGAATGCCAAGTAGTGTGGATGGACAACATAGGGTGCATTTACTTTTTGCTAGCTTCCAAGCTCACCAAGCTGACACCTAGCGCAGCCTGACGTCATATTAGCAAACTTGTAAAAGTATACACCAGATATGGGCAAATGCGGCTCTGAGAGTTACATGTGGCTCTTCTTGAAAGTGTTAATTCCTGCTTTTTATTATTATTTTTACAATTTTATTTCCACAATTTTGTGAAAATCTGTTTATTAAAAAAATTCAATATTTGTTTTATATTATATTTATGTTATATAATAAAATTGCGGTACAGAACTGTGGCTTCCATGCATTTTTCAAAACCTACATAGCCGTCTTTGAACAAACTCCAAGCTCGTTGTAAATTTTCCAAGCATACTAGGAATGCTAGCAATGATGTCATGGGTACGAAAGGTAAATGCCGTGCTCATTGGTCGCTAACAAAAAGTATGCAGGCTGAGTGCACTAGGGGAGAGATCGGAGCTAAAAGTAAACACACTCATAAATACATGGAGGCAAATACTGTCTCCTTTGTTTTAAGGCTACTTATTGAGAAGAATTGGGAAATGGCAAATGTCAAATGTTCATCATGCATAAACCATTCACACTACTCTATATTTGCCAAATATTTGCTAAGCAATAAGCCATTCAAAAGATTCAGTGTTTATTTTTTCTTGTACATTGTATTTCAAGAAAAGATTATTAATTCACCAAACAACATGAAATTATAATATAATTACTACAGAAGTGAAATCATATTTCAATTACTAATATTTTTCTGCTTTGGTCAATAATAGAATATTCTTTCCACTTATAATTATTATGTTAGACAAGAAAATAAATTATTTCTTCTCTCTATAATAATGCAATTAAGAAACTATTGTACATCATTGAACTGAGTCAATAGATTATAATTTAAGCACCATAATTAATGATGCAACAAATATTCCGTTACTATTTTGGTATTTGGCCAAATACCGAATACCTAAAAAAGGAGTAAGAAATAACAAAAACACAGTAAATTAATCATTTTGGTAACTTTTATTAATGCTGAACATACATTTCAAGTTCGAGAAAATGCAATTTTTTGCTTAATTATGTAAAAGATCAAAGGAAAAATAATATAAACAAGTTATTTTTTAAGAGATCAAAAAAAGGTTAACAAATCATATGAAAACTGCCTACTTATTATGTACAGTCGACCCCCCCTATAACGTGTGTTCCTATAATGACAATTCTTATAACGTAGCAAAAAAATTGTAGCAACATTCGTATAAAATACCTCCTATAATGTCGTTTTGCGACAAGATTGATAGAATCTGGACCAATAGTGGATGAGCAGCCGAACTACTTTCCTCCGACCCTGCGCCACGCTACGGAGCGGCTAAATTGAGTTTGCTATTGTCTGTACAGTATTATATATAAATTAGGTACTGTACATATAATTATATATTAATTATATATAAATTAAGTATTGTATATATAATTATATATTAACTTAATTTATTGTAACTATTATAATTATATATATGCTTTCTGCCACTTGGCAACACGATACGGAGATTTTAGGCTAGTAAGTTGAGTTTATTATCGTCTGTACAGTATGTAAATTAGGTACCGTAAGTCTAATACAGCACTAATTTTATACATTTCTTGTGAAAGAAACATTTCTTATTCAACGGCCATAAAAATTATTTATATTAATGATGTCTCCAAAGGTCAAGTTATTTTTCTGCGAAAAATTCGTTATCAGAAATCGC